GTGTGTGTGTGTGTGTGTGTGTGTGTGTGTGTGTGCGCACGTGCGCGCGGGGGCAAACAATCAACTGGTGGAGTTGAATGATAACTGTAGCCCTTTCGTATTGCAATCAACACATCATGAGCTAATAAACACACTTGCTCTGAACGTATTTGCTTGGAATTCCTCTTTTACTGTAACATTGCAAGCTCCTGACGTGTTGATTGCAAAACGAAAGGCCTAGAGCTATCATTCAACTTCTTCTCCCCGCCTCTCGTGTTCTGCACTTGGTATAGCTGTTCGCTATTATTACATAAAATAAATATTTACATACAATCTCTTCCATTTGCTATCTCTCCAGAGTACGCTAACCATCCCTAATTCCATTCACGATGTAACCCACAGCACCGTATCATCCTCTGCGGATGATACTAGGATCTGCATGAGGCTGTCATCTATTGAGGACGCGGTTAACCTCCAAGAAGATATAAACCAAGTTTTCCAGTGGGCAACGGAAAACAATATGATGTTCAAAGAAGACAAATTCCAACTACTCCGTTATGGAAAACTGGAGGAGATAATAACTAGAACTGAGTATACTGTAAACTCTGATCATACAGTATAGCAGAAAAATAATGTGATGGACCTGGAAGTGGTATTTTTTTTTTTTACGCAGGGTTTGACAAGGTTAAGGATCCCTAGCATTACTGACAAGCTATTTACAGGTTAAGGATTCCTAACTTTATTGACAAGCTAAGAGCTGTTACCTACATCAGCTCATTTGAAAGCATTTTTATTGTTATGAGACATACAAGTAGGGAACAGGATGAAGTTGGAGCCATCTGTGGGCCAGCATTTTCATGTGATCAACTGACTTTATCTCGTTGACATCATTATGCTGTACGAATGTGTTCCATACTCGAGTCATCCTGGGTACATATGATCTCAGATGGAGTGATGTTCTGGAGAAGGGTACAGCCAGAGTGAAGCTGCTGCTTTCTGCCCGTCTTGTGACATAAAAGCTTGTTTCACGCTGTCCTCGAAGTGGATCCAAGTGTGGTACTTTGCCAATATTGGCCTTGTACATAACAGTAAGGGCACCCACATCCCTCCTATGTTGAAGGCTCTGCTGAAATGACAGATCTATCCAGGATGGGTCCAGGCGAGAAATGAGACGTCTTGCTCTGTTCTCTACTCTGTCAAGCAGTCGCAGATGAGAGGGGGGCAGGCAAACCAAGAAAGTGAAGCATACTCAAGGTGTGAGCGTACTTGTGCCTCGTACAGAATCTTGCAACCCCTACTGTCAAGCAGATGCGAGATACGGCGAAGCGCTGAAAGCTTCCTGGCTGCCTTGTTTTCAAGATTTACATGGTTCTTCATGGTTAGTTTGGAGTCAAATTTCACCCCAAGGATATCAACTTCTTCTCCAGGTGCCAACATCCTTCCACTCATCCTTACTACTGCACCAGCATTACCATCATGGTGCCTAGAGACGATCATCATTTGCGTTTTCTCGGGTGCAAATGTTACTTGCCATCTATTTCCCCAAGCTGATATAGCTCTCAGCTGGTGATTGATGTAGCTTAGAGCAGCTGGCATTTCTTCTCTTGGATAAGTGAATGTCAGTGTACAGTCGTCTGCATATGCATGTGATTCTGGGATGAGATGAAGAAGGTCTTTGAAGTAGACATTCCATAACAGTGGTCCCAGTACGCTTCCTTGTGGAACACTTGCTCCAATAGGATGTCTTGCTGATTCTGTTCCATTGAGAACTACACTTAGAGATCTACCGTAGACATAACGTAGAGCCTGCAATTCCCAGTGCTTGAAGTTTTGCTAAGAGGCCCTGGTGCCACACCCGGTCGAAAGCGCCAGGAATGTCCAATGATATTGCTGGCGCAGTGACTGGTGCCACTTATTGGAGAGGTTTAACAACAGATCAGCAGCAGAGTAACCTTTCCTGAAGCCATATTGACTACCACTCACAATGTAGTGAGTGGTAGTCAAAAAACTCTGTCATTTGTCTTGAGATTATTGTCTCAAGGGTCTTACCAGTGATTGACAGGAGTGACACTGGTCTGTAGTTGCTTTCTGCTCTGCTCTTCTTTTTGTGAACAGGGACTACATTTGCCTCTTTCCATAGAGAGGGCCATTTACACTGTACTAGGCAGTACTGAAAGATGTGAGTTAGAGGTGCTGCTAGCTGGTCTGCACATCATCTCAGCAATCTTGGGCTCAACTTGTCTGAGCCCACAGCCTTTTCTTGGTCAAGCGATTTAAGAAGGAAATGCACCTCCTCCTGCCTTACTGTCACCACTGACAGTTTTGACACAGTTCTTGCAGCTAGCCAAGGAGGGTCCCTTGCTGGATCAGGAAATTGCATTTTGGTAGCAAAGTGTTCAGCAAAGAGGTCCTCCTTCTCTTGACTACTAGTAGAGGTGGTCCCATCCTGTCGATTTAGAGGTGGAATGAGTTCATCAGGCAGATAACCTTGTCTGTCCTTGACCAGGGACCACCAGGTTTTGGAGCCTACCCTACCTGATGCTAGCTTTCTTTTAGTGTCCACCTCCCATTTACCAATGGCCAACTTTTGAACGTCACCCATATGCCTACAGGCTTGCCTGTGCAAGTTCCTGTTATAGGTGGTAGGATGTCTCTTATACCTTCGCCATGCTTTGTACTTAGCAGTAGCAGCCTCTCTACAACGAAAGCCAAACCAAGGCTGATCTGTAGGCTTTGTCACATATTGCCGGTGAGGAATGTGTTCTTGTTGTAGATTAAGGATGCGTCCAGTGAAGGCTTTCACTTGGTTGTCAACATCCCCTTGGAGAAGAGCATTCCAATCGGTGGTGGCGAGCTCAGAGCAAAGGGCTGGCCAATTACCTCTTTCCCATAACCAGGTTGTGAGTGTGGACTCCTCACCTCGTTCTGTTGGGATCTTAAGTGTCGTAAAAACAGTCTTGTGGTCAGACGATCCAAAGTAGCCGAGGGGTTGACAAGTGACTATGCCTTCTTCCAGATCACTCACTACTGGATCAAGGGAGGAGCCAGAGATGTGAGTAGGGAAATCAACAAAGTTTCTCATGTCATATACTGCAAGAAGGTCATCAAAGTCCCTCTGTATAAGGTGTTGGTTGAGATCACCCACAATTATGATTTGTTGACAGTTGTGTTGTAGCAGAAGGGAGTCAATATTTTCCATTAGGAAGTTGATGGGGTCTCACTTTCAAGGATCACAATAGTGCCATGATCACAACTGTAAAGGAAATGTTAGGATGGATAATGAGAACGTTCAGAATAAGGGATGCCAAGCCAATGATGATCCTTTTGAAATCACTCTAGGCTGGAATACTGCTGTACATTAACATCTCCGTTCAAAGCAGGTGAAATTGTAGATCTAAAGAGTGTATAGAGAACCTTTACTGCACGTATAAGTTCTATCAAACACCTCAACTACTGGGAACGCTTGGAAGCTCTTGTACTTGCTGGAACGCTGGGCAGATAGATATATCATAATCTACACTTGGAAAATCCAAGATGGAATGGTCCCGAATCTGCACACAGAAATCACTCCCTACGAAAGTAAAAGACTGGGCAGGAGGTGCAAAATATCCCCAATGAAAAGTAGGGGCGCCATTGGTACACTAAGAGAAAACACCATAAGTGTCCGGAGCCCAAGACTGTTCAACAGCCTCCTACCATGCATAAGAGGAATTACCAATAGGCCACTGGCTGCCTTCAAAGGGAGCTGGACAGATACTTAAAGACGGTGCCGAATCAACCGGGCTGTGGTTCGTACGTTGGACCTCGTGCGGCCAGCAGTAACAGCCTGGTTGAAAAGGCCCTGATCCACAGGGAGGCCTTGTCGTAGACCGGCCTGGGGAGGCGTTGATCCCCGGAATACCCTCCAGGTAGTCCCCAGGTAGGTAGACGATGTCCACATTCATCAAACTTCCCCTTCAATGCCACCTCGAAAAGATAAAATTTACCCAGTGAAGACGTAGTCTCCCCTGGGTCCTGGGGGACGTGTGATGGAAGAGGTGTGTAGCGAGTAAGCGGAAAGATATGGTGGTGCCTTAAATTCTTAGAATCTTTTATTAATATATACTTAGAATCTTTTATTAATACATGTATAGAGTCTTTTAATAATACAGAAAAGAACTGGAAATAATATCTCTTCAAAATTCTTGATAGGGTTAGGTTAGGTTTGTCAGGGAACAGGACAAGTGGTTCCTGACGCGGGTCTCAGTCAGATGATGACCCGCAGCTGGAGCTTTTTGATCATCTGACCGAGGATTTCGCTGGCTTACCTGCCTACCCCTGTAACAATTTTGGTTACAGTCTGTGATCAATTTGTGATAATCACAGGTGGCAGTCAGATCAGCAGAGGCCATTTAATATGTCGTTATACTCTAGCGACTTGTCTTTATTAACAGAGATATGTATATATATTTATCATATTCATCATGGTCCGAAGTCATTGTTGGCCTTGTAAAGATCAAGGCTCTAAGCCTATCTTCATATGGGGGAATCCTTATACAGTGGATTACTTTCGTCATTCTTTGCTTAATGTTTTCCCACGAACTCACATCAACTCCTTAATATGGAGACAACAACCCAGCTGCACAGTCCACGTGAGGCCGAACCAATGATGTGAGGAGCTGCTGTATATCCTCTGGACTCCTGCTGCTTAAACTTCTTGATATAAATCCACAGCAATCTGTTTGCCCCACCACGTACGCTTTGGCACTGCAATCTTTATTTCATGTGTTTACATATCTTCCTCTAATGATGTGTAAGGACATGAACGCGCGCAGGTGTTTTTCCTATTTCACTGTGGTATTTTATACATATGCATAGGTAAAATATAACCACAGTGAAAAATAGTAGTATTCCAGTGTAGTAATAATGCATTTTTATATCATTTTCTTGTGAAATTATTGCATCATCTATAACTACTATACAGACACCATTGTCTTGTTCCCATACTAATTACCACAGACACAACAAGAACAGGTCAGTACCTGGAAGCGCTGGTCGGCGGAGTAGGTGTGGTGACCAGCCGTCAGGATGTGCAGGTCTCGCCGCCTCAGCCACGTCACCTGGGGGACAATAACACAGCTTTTAATTACGTTTCTAATTATCTTTTGCTCGAGGTGACCTGAGTAAAATGCCCAATTAAATTATCCTCAAGACTGAGTACGAACATAGCTCATACAATCTCCGCTGCCAACACAATTTCATACAACCTCTCCTGCGAGCACAATTTCACACCATTTGCGCTGCCGACACGATTTCACTGCTGTTTTTCGTTGGGTCGCCTGTGCGGCTAGTTTATTGTGCACTCCATGCTCATCCTCTGAGAGATAGTGCACAAAACCCGATTACAGAGCTCACAATGGGTCTTTATCAGGCCCCAGTGAGTATAACTGCATCTGGGGTACATAATAGTAGCATAAGAGTTACATGGCAGACACATCGGTTCTGGGACCACGATCATCCCAGGACAGAAACATTTCTCACGTATCTTTAGCCATAACTTGTGGGGTATTGCATACCAGGTTTTCACCTTAATATTGTAACCATTTCTTATATTGCATTTGCTTCAAATAACAGGTGTACAAAATACAATACGGAGAGAATCTCCAAAAAATTGGACGTCTTGTGACAACTAAATAAGGATGGTCATTATTTGGTTGCAGCTTCATCCATATCCATACCAATTATTTGCCAAGGCTTCTTTCTCAGTGTAGCTTTCTCCGTTTTTTTTAAAGTTTCACAGAGAGTGAAAGATGATTACAATCATATGTCGATGTTGCTAATTCACCATTTTGCTAAGTCATGGGCCCATAACAACATCAACAGTCTAAAGAAAAGTCTGGCCCCAAGACAGGCTGTGTAGACAGAAAAACTTTCGAAACAGTCCAAGGTATATTACAGCAATACTTGTGTTCCTAGGGCAAACGTTGATTTGAAGCTAATTTCTTGATGTTATTCAGGTTAGGCTGTCGTATATAAGCAAAATTTAGCCAAAAATAACATACCTTAATGCCAATAAATGTTATGTGTACATATATATACAATCATGTGTCACTTAACGACGTGTATATACGTTCTGAGAAGTGCATCGTTAGGAGATTTCGTCGTTGTGCGAAGGTCAGTGTAGTTACACAAACCTTGATGGTATAGCCTACTACACACCTAGGCTATATGGTATAGCCTACTACACACCTAGGCTATATGGTATAGCCTACTACACACCTAGGCTATATGGTATAGCCTACAACACACCTAGGATATATGGTATAGCCTACTACACACCTAGGCTATATGGTATAGCCTACAACACACCTAGGCTATATGGTATAGCCTACTACACACCTAGGCTATATGGTATAGCCTACTACACACCTAGGATATATGGTATAGCCTACTACACACCTAGGCTATATGGTATAGCCTACTACACACCTAGGCTATATGGTATAGCCTACTACACACCTAGGATATATGGTATAGCCTACTACACACCTAGGCTATATGGTATAGCCTACTACACACCTAGGCTATATGGTATAGCCTACTACACACCTAGGGGTATATGGTATAGCCTACTACACACCTAGGATATATGGTATACCTACTACACACCTAGGCTATATGGTATAGCCTACTACACACCTAGGCTATATGGTATAGCCTACTACACACCTAGGCTATATGGTATAGCCTACTACACACCTAGGATATATGTATAGCCTACCACACAAACCCAGGTTATATGGTATAGCCTACTACACACCTAGGATATATGGTATAGCCTACTACCCCACCTAGACTATATGGCATAGCCTACTACACACCTAGGATATATGGGATAGCCTACTACACACCTAGACTATGTGGCATAGCCTACTACACACCTAGGATATATGGGATAGCCTATTGCTCCTAGGTTACAAACCTTAAGGGCCATGTTAAACAAAGCAACACGAGAAAACATTCCTGTCAAGAGACGCAGTAAACACAAGGTGTACGAGGCTGCTGCCGGCGTAACACAGCACACTGTTTTGCAGTAAATATTTTTTTTATGCAAGTAGAAAGAGTACACACTAGAATAACGATAAAAAGTACAGTATAGTAAATACATAAACCAGTAACATAGTTGTTTATTATCATTATCAAGTATTATGTTCTGTACATAATTGTATGTGCTGTACTTTTATACGTCTGACAGCTCAGTATTGATTACCGTCGTATATGCGGTCCGTCGTTTTGGAACACTATAAATGTTTATGGAACAGCATAAAAAAAAAAGGGGATTTAAAATGTGTACGTAAGCAAAGTCCAATCAAAACAAATGTCGAACTCAAATGGGCAACGCTCTCAAATAAAAAAAAAGTTAGAACGATGATGCATGCAGGGGATGAGATGAAAAGCTGTAAGCCTTCTCCCTGAAAGCTGGCTGCCTTGGATCAAAGTCTAGCGTAAGCTGGACTCCAAGGTATTGGTCCAGTGTGGGTAGATTGGTAAAGTACTGCGTACCTTGTTGCAAGGTTCGAGTCTCCTTCAGCCAGAGATAAGTGTTTGTATATATATATAATATATATATATATATATATATAATATAATATATATATATATATATATATATATATATATACATTGTCGTGCCGAATAAGGAGAATTTAAATTTCGTACATAAAAAAAAATCAGTAAAGAGAATAATTATTAAATCTACATAAACTGGTAGTGCTGTGGCTCGTACGGGTCTAGCGCTCGTTGCAAATAAGTAAACATAAACGGGCAAAGGACCAAATAACCGAAAACTAGAAAATTGTCTACGCAAATTGGGAGAAAAGAGACAAGAACTGTGTAATGAATTATCCAGCCATTAGCCAGAAACCGGTTTTAGGGGAAAATGATGAACCGCATAATGAGAGAGCATCGGTAAATTTATGGAAGGTAAGAATATAATAACAGGAAATCAACGGGAATTTCTGAAAATACGATGAAGGACTAACAAATTGATTATTATTATTTACAGACAGAGAGTCACAAAACACACTGAAGTATCTCTCTCTCTCTCTCTCTCTCTTTTTTTTTTTTTTTTTTTTTTTCACACGTTTTTACAAGGTTAAGGATCCCTAGCTTTATTGACAAGCTATTTACAGGTTAAGGATTCCTAACTTTATTGGCAAGCTAAGAGCTGTTACCTACATCAGCTCATTTGAAAGCATTTTTATTAAGAGACATACAAGTAGGGAACAGGATGAAGTTGGAGCCATCTGTGGGCCAGCATTTTCATTTGATCAACTGACTATCTCATGACATCATTATGCTGTACGAATGTGTTCCATACTCGAGTCATCCTGGGTATGTATGATCTCAGATGGAGTGATGTTCTGGAGAAGGGTACAGCCAGAGTGAAGTTGCTGCTTTCTGCCCGTCTTGTGGCATAAAAGCTTGTTTCACGCTGTCCTCGAAGTGGATCCAAGTGTGGTATTTTGACAATATTGGCCTTGTACATAACAGTAAGGCCACTCACATCCCTCCTGTGTTGAAGGCTCTGCTGAAATGACAGATCTATCCAGGATGGGTCCAGGCGAGAGATGAGACGTCTTGCTCTGTTCTCTACTCTGTCAAGCAGTCGCAGATGAGAGGGGGGCAGGCAAACCAAGAAAGTGGAGCTTTACTCAAGGTGTGAGCGTACTTGCGCCTCGTACAGGATCTTGCAACCCCTACTGTCAAGCAGATGCGAGATACGGCGAAGCGCTGTAAGCTTCCTGGCTGCCTTGTTTGCAAGATTTACAACATGGTTCTTCATGGTTAGTTTGGAGTCAAATTTCACCCCAAGGATATCAACTTCTTCTCCAGGTGCCAACACCCTCCCATTCATCCTTACTACTGTACCAGCATTACCATCATGGTGCCTAGAGACGATCATCATTTGCGTTTTCTCAGGTGCAAATGTTACTTGCCATCTATTTCCCCAAGCTGATATAGCTCTCAGCTGGTGATTGATGTAGGTTAGAGCAGCTGGCATTTCTTCTCTTGGGATAAGTGAATGTCAGTGTACAGTCGTCTGCATATGCATGTGATTCTGGGATGAGATGAAGAAGGTCGTTGAAGTAGACATTCCATAACAATGGACCCAGCACGCTTCCTTGTGGAACACTTGCCCCAATAGGATGTCTTGCTGATTCCGTTCCATTGAGAACTACACTTAGAGATCTACCATGAAGGTAATCACTGAGGAGACATAACGTAGAGCCTGCAATTCCCAGTGCTTGAAGTTTTGCTAAGAGGCCCTGGTGCCACACCCGGATCGAAAGCGCCAGCAATGTCCATTTGCTACACACAGCGACTTGGATTCATCCAGTGACTCGTGCCACTTAGTGGAGAGGTTTAAACAACAGATCAGCAGCAGAGTAACCTTTCCTGAAGCCATATTGACGATCACAAAAGTAGTGAGTGGTAGTCAAAAAACTCTGTCATTTGTCTTGAGATTATTGTATCAAGGATCTTACCAGTGATTGACAGGAGTGACACTGGTCTGTAGTTGCTGATTTCTGCTCTGCTCTTCTTTTTGTGAACAGGGACTACATTTGCCTCTTTCCATATAGAGGGCCATTTACACTGTACTAGGCAGTGGTGAAAGATGCGAGTTAGAGGTGCTGCTAACTGGTCTGCACATCTTCTCAACAATCTTGGGCTCAACTTGTTTGGGCCCACAGCCTTTTCTTGGTCAAGCGATTTAAGAAGGAAATGCACCTCCTCCTGCCTTATTGTCACCACTGACAGTTTTGACACAGTTCTTGCAGCTAGCCAAGGAGGGTCCCTTGCTGGATCAGAAACTTGCATTTTGGTAGAAAAGTGTTCAGCAAAGAGGTCCGCCTTCTCTTGACTACTAGTAGAGGTGGTCCCATCCTGTCGATTTAGAGGTGGAATGAGCTCATCAGGCAGATAACCTTGTCTGTCCTTGACCAGGGACCACCAGGTTTTGGAGCCTTCCCGACCTGATGCTAACTTTCTTTTAGTGTCCACCTCCCATTTAGCAATGGCCCACTTTTGAACATCACCCATATGCCTACAGGCTTGC